ACCAAAACTTGTATTAAAAAACCTGTTTTATAAAAGTGTCCAATGGGTGACTTTTAAATAACTCACAACATTACTAAATTAGCATGAGTCATGTAAATGTAGCCCCTGACCAAGTATAAGAAAGCTAAACTGTGCTAAACAACTTTGACTTCAGGTAACTCGGAGGAAAACAAAACGTTTATGTATTAACTTTTATAGATGCCGGCATGTGCATGTGATCCCTTAAGTCCAAAAATTGGACTAGTTCAGTTTTGTGGGAAAGCAGCATCCACTTCACATTAGCAGCCTTCAATTTGCACCCTCCTCCCCAGAGGCTCTATCAAGCCTAAAGAGCAAGAACTGAAGGACAGGGAAAGAAATACTGTTTTACTCCTAGATGTGGTCCCTTCAATGAGGGCTGAATTAGGCACTTTGGCAGAGCTGTGTGGGAAAAGCTTGCACTGCTTCACTACCTATTACTGTGCTTAATCAAGTGATGTCAAGTCTTTGGTCGTGTCAGTCTGACACTTTGCATGATTTCCTCAACTCAACTTTAAAATTTGTACACATGAATAAAATGACACTACTGCCAAATGATAAGCAGTCAGTGAGTTCAAGTTCATTATGCCCTTGGCACTAGGTGACATTGATAATTGAAGACTGCAGAAGAAGGCTCAGCACCTGATTAGTCTCGCTATTGGTGAGGTAGATTATAGCAATTGGAGGATATAAGTGGTACATTTCTACCATGAATGAAATGGTTCTCCAGAATGAGACACTTACAGAGAATTAATGAGCCTCAAGAGTGACTGGATTAACTCTGCCACACTTGGCCTTCCTATTACAAAATGTTATTGAATATCCTGCACTGGGAAGAGAGAATTTGCAGTTATCTTAACTTAGACAATGGGCTCTTAAGATTTTGGGGGAGAGAGTTCAGAAATAAAAGTGGTTATGAAAGAAAGAGGAAGATTCAGATTTTGAGAAGTAGCTTAAAAGCAGGAAGGGAACAAATGTATAACCCATAGTTAGGTTACCAAATTGCTGGTCAACGAGTTATTTAGGAGCTTGTTGGGTGTCAGAAAGTCTTTACTGTAAGTTTTATTCAAAACTGCATTTTCAGCATTCTTCTCAGATAACTGAAGGAGACAGACTGTTTTGAGATTAGAGCATAGGACCTAAATTATAGTTCTGGTTCTCCCAGCTACTTGTGCAAGACACAGAGTTGATCCATGCTGCAATTTACATAATTGTAAAGCAGGGAACACACACTCCCACTCACACACACCCACTCTGGCCATAAAAATCTGTGTAGGGTTATCACCATAGAAAGAACAAATTTGCTCCGTGTTGTGGGTTCATCTTTGCTCACAGGATAGGATTCCACAAAGATGTGCTTTAAATGTCCTTCTGCTACAATTCAACTACAAATTCAGCAGCTGTACAAAAAAACCAAAGTGAAAATAGACTGATAGTGTGGATGAGATGCATATGGTGGTTAGGTAAGATGGCCAAGCCCCTCTAGCAAAATAGTGGAATAATGAAGATTACCTTGCATGAGCCCTGCATAAAGGATAAATGTTGTAGAGTTACACATCTTCATCGAATATATTCTAATTGAAAAAAAATATCTTTGGTATTGTTTACATACCTACAATTTTAAAAGCCACTGGGCTTGCGATTCATAGTGGAAATGACAAATAGGATTCAAAAACATCAGATTAGAGAGAAAGTTTGTCACGTTATCCAAACACCTATCAAGAACAAAAAAACCCCAGATTCTTTATGGGTTTAAAGGAAGCACCCCAGCTAGAGTTTTCAGATGGTAGTAGACCTGTTTCTGGTTTCTGAACACCTGGTCTGTAGCTAGAATAATAGAAAATGAGGGTTGGAAGGGACCTTAGGAGGTCATATCTAGTCCAACCCCCAGCTCAAAACAGGACCATCCCCAACCTGGTCATACCAGCCAAGTTTTTGTCTAGCTAGGTCTTAAAAACCTCCAAGGATGGAGATTCCACCACCTCTCTGGATATACCCAGCACAAAGCTACTTACAAAGGGCACACACATCAATGTTCTGTTAGAGCACTTTTGGCCAAATTTTAGCTGCTGTGAATGAGCACAGGGGAACCAACACTATTTTTTTATGTTTTTTCAAATCAATCCAGCCCAGGAAGTCAGATCTAAAGCTTTAAATCATTTGATAACAGTGCATATATTTTTAACATTTTCTGAGACCCACAAAATACACCAAGAGAAGTTGCTTTATCTATCAATCATTTTTTACATCTCATCCCCAAAAGACAAAATATTGCTTTTATGTTGAACTAGACCTCCATTGAGAAAATGTCCTTGGTTGCTATAGCCAGGTGAAGATCAATTTTCATTATTTTGGCACTGTATATGAGCACCCGTCAATACTTCCTTCATTAGTATAATAAAAGTTAAATATTGGGGAGAAGCAGAGGAGAAATCTATTTATTTGAACAGGTATTTTCTTGTCATCTAAAACATATTTATCTTTCAGGAATGAAAAATCGAATTCCCTCTGCAGAAGAAAACGTTAGCCTAACTAGCTACTTTCAGAATGACTGATGCTTATTCTTGTGGGACACAAATAGCTTTTCGGGATAGGCTCTACATCTCTTATATTTCCATTCCTGAAATACATTAGGCTACTAATCAACAAGACCATTGCATTTATGGACAAATACTTGTTCACAGCTGCTGCGGATTGCACTGAACTAGAACATCTGCCCTGCAGCTGTTCCTGCAGAAATAGAACATGAGATTATCTGCCTCTGAATTGTCAGTGTGATTTGATCTTTCTTCCCTTAAAAAAATACAAAAGGCAGCATTTTATTTTGTTTGAACCAATATTTGCCTATAAAAAAATGAGACCAAACACCAATAACTGTTTTTAAGACCAAATATCATTTGTAATGTTCTATGCCCCTCCACTTCCAAACTAGAGCTCAAGGCACCAGCTTATTTCTTGTAAACTTTATACTAAGAAAAGTTTTGCAGCACTGGACTTGGGGTTAGAGAAAACCAAAAGTAATTTGAAGTTTGTACCCTAAGAACATTCAGACAATTGAGTGATACCAGTACCCAGTATAAGGACATGTAATGTTAATGAAAGGTGTCAGACAGAACAAGAGACTCAAATTTATTATTTGTATAAATTTGGGCATAACATATGCAAGTTTCCTGAAGTTTTGCTGCTAGTGCATGGATCTTCCCCACACCCCTCCTTTAGCATGGTTAGAGAAAGAGTTAATATAGTATATTCTAAAGAACCTGGTCACAATTATGACAGTGGTTTTGTGCTGCAGACACTAATTCACTAGGAAATAAATGAGACCACTTAACTCATTTTGCACAGGCTCCTAGTCATGAAATAGTAACAGCTTTGTTACCATCACCTTAGAAAACACTTTTAAGTAGTCGTTCTGACTTTAGAAGGAAAGACTGTATGACCCTTAAAAGCCTCCTTTCTGGGACACTGCACACAAAATCTCAGTCCAAAGGAAAAAAAAAATTTAGAATTTGAAATTTAAACAGATGGGGATATAGTTTGGTCAGGATGTAGTGGGGGGAGGAATCACAAAACAATTAGACAAAACACAAACTCAAAGCCAAGAACACAAACAAAAGAGCTCCATGTTGAATATGCTGTACATTTTTCAGGACTTCCACTTTCAGTTTAAGAAGTTAAGAGCCCCAAAGAAGACTATTTATGGTTTAGACAGTAACATATATTTATAAACAGACATAAAATAAAAACAACGAATATCAAAATACTAAACACATGCTTAGTCCTGATCTTGAGTACAGTAAAGCATTGAAAAGTTTCAAGTTTTTACTAAAGCTATACGTTCATTGCCTGTACCTTTGTTTCTTTTAAAATCAAATGACCAGACGAGCAAAAAAATTAACTCTTTACTCCAACAAGAGCACGCTGTAGGAAACAAAGAGCTAATTAAAAGATTTCATAGCTAAGAACAATCAGCTGTGTTAGTATACGTGTGCTTTCAGCATCTATTCGGTTTACAGAATTATGAAGAAACAGCGTAGGCATATGCTCTTATTTTATTGGCCAGGTCTAGGCCAAAGAGAAAAGAAAGCAGAGAGAAACTTGGTGCATCCATTTCAGGTGGCTTTCGTGTCTGGTTATTAGATCCAAATGTGAATTTTTATTATCTTCGCTCTACTGCCAAGTGCACTCTCCATTCAGAAGCGACTGAGTCGCTCATCACTCTCAGGAGACCGCACAAACAATACATTTGTCCCCAGCTTTATAAGCCACAGATTTAGAAATGCCAAACAACTCTCACTTACCATCTTTTTCAGAGGCCCACACTCAAGTCTGGCATCTTCCCTTTTTATACAGAATTCCACAGGTCGCTGCCAATTTTTCATTCGCACCGCAAATACTTAGCCAGAAACCTACACGGTAAAAGAACAGAAATGAGCATCTGAGCCGAGCGTAGCACAGTCCCTTAAAAATGAATGCTTCGAGGCAGACTTGTTTTTCCAGCTCTCCTTAACACGCCCATGAGGCGGCGGGAGCTGGGCCCACTTTAAGCCACGCTCCCAACACGAGGCTGGCAAGGCTGAAACGCGCCCATCGCAGACACGGATGCTGATGTTACCCCTAAATTTGGTTTAGTTTCTACGACAGGACGTGGCTGAACGACGTTGACACCGGCAAGGTTTCCTAAAAAAAACTTCTAGACACAAAGGTGTTTAACCTGCAGCCCCGGGGGGCCAGGGCAGGTCGGGACAGGTCACAGATTTGCAGTTGTTCACGGCTGGAAGTGGCTTTACGAGATCATCGGGTCCATCCCCCTCCCCCTGCATTTAGGCAGGAAAGGCTGATGGGGTCAGATGAGGTCAAGGCGCTTTCTGGACATTGCCAGGCCTCCTTCTAGAAACGGGCCCTTGCGCCCCTTCCTCTTCCCAGCTCACGAGTGTCACTGGGTTTGGGGGTGTGAGGAGGAGAAAGAGCGCAAGCGGGGGGTCTCCCCGACCCCCATGAGGCCGAGGTGTTGCCCCCAGGGCCGCTGGGCCTCGAGTGCCGCCCCCGCCTCACCTGGGCGCGGAGACGCCGGCAGCAGGTTCCCGCTCGGCCACCCCGCCCTCCCGCGGCCCCGCGCCTCCCTGGGACGTGTAGTCCGCCCCCGCCCTGCGGCCGCGGCGCTCAGGGCCTGCCGCACTACAACTCCCGGCGGCCGCTGCGGCAGCCCCACACCTGCGCTCTCCTCCCCGCAGGTAACCCCCCCCTCGGCTGGAGGCCCCCGCCGCGCGCGGGGCCTGCCGGGAAATGCAGTTCCCGCGCCCCGTGTTGTGCCCGCGCCGCCGCGAGGCGGGAACTACGCGTCCCAGGAGGCTGTGCGCAGCGGGCGGCC